TTTGACTTTGTATATTTTTAACTTTTACTATTTAGTCCATTTTCGGTAATATTGTTTTGGCGTAACTCGGTATTTATACATCCTGCCGTTGTGTTATTGTGCAATTTTATGTTTTCTTCTCTATAGCTTGCTATAAAACCAGGTTTTATTCACAATTTTCTACATAAGGAAATGGATGTACCATGTCAGGAATATGAAAGTTGTTTTTTTATTCATTTGATGTGTTTGAACTTTTGATTTTGCCCCTTTGAAAGAGACTTTCCGATTTTAATTTTCCGTGGAGTTCGGTATTATTGCTATTTTACTTTTCATTATAATACCAATGTAAGTACCTATACAAATAAAATTCAGAGATTGTATTGCAGCGTTAAATTGATAACCTCTAAAAGAAGTTTTTTCAAAGAATTAATAATTTTGCATGTTTTACATGGACTAAACATATTGATTATTTCATCATAGATAACAGGATTAAAATGTTATACATGAGACGCGTGTTTAGTCGACAAAAGATTCATCAGCATGGTAAATGCCGCTCGAATCATAAAAGTTAAAAAGATAAATAAAGTATTGACTTGATATCGCTTTTGTTATACGGTTTCTACATGTACAGCCAAACTTCAAAACCAAAAAATTGTATCTTTGAACTAATTAAGTAAAGATCTTAAGTCATTTGTTGTAACATAATCTCTGACGTAATAATTATTAGTTAAACATAGCTTACGTTAATTGATATGCAAAACTTTCCTATAGACACAGGCACAGCGAATGATTTGGAATATTCAAACATCATAAGTCATGGCTATGCATTTAGAAATTAGAACAAAAATAATTTTAGGGAACGAAAGAATATTTGCAATAACTCATTTGTAATCAATACTTAATTATTAAAGACAACTTTCTTTTAATAAGATTTCATTGAAGCGTAGTCTAGATAGTCGAAAGTCGTAACTGTAAACCGACTTTCAAAGATTTACCTGTACATGCCAAATAAAAACAATTCCATTATTTGCATATAAAGTTGAGAATGGAAATAGGGAATGTGTCAAAGAGACAACAACCCGACCATAGAGCAGACAACAGCCGAAGGCAACCAATGGGTCTTCAATGCAGCGAGAAACTCCCGCACCCGGAGGCGTCCTTCAGCTGGCCCCTAAACAAATATGTATACTAGTTCAGTGATAATGGATGTCATACTAAACTCTAAATTATACACAAGAAACTAAAATTAAAAATGATACAAGACTAACAAAGGCCAGAGGCTCCTGACTTGGGACAGGCGCAAAAATGGGGTTAAACATGTTTTTTGAGATCTCAACCTCCCCCTATACCTCTAGCCAATGTAGAAAAAACAAACGTACAACATACGCACAGTAAAACTCAGTTTAAGAGAAGTCCGAGTCCGATGTCAGAATAGGAAACAAAAGAAAATAAACAAAATGACAATAATACATAAATAACAACAGACTTCTAGCTTATTTACTTACTAGAAGTCGACATACGTGACGTTTGTTTTGTATAGTTTAAGTAGCTTATATAAATTGGGACATGCAAATATTCAGAATAGGTCTTAAGAGGGTACCCGACATTTCGTTTTGGAAAATGTTTGAAAGTCAAGAAGATAAGCCTTTCCTACAATTTTTGAAAGTCCCAATAGGGATTCAGAAATATACCACATCCAAGGTTTCCTACCTAGGGCTTCATGTTTTTCTTTAACATAAGGGTGAATAATGGGTATCAGGTAATATTTTCCAATTCTTTCAGTTATAATTATTCAATCCCTGAAATTTCTTGTTTACTTAGTAAGTATTGATCTGTTTAATTTGATTATATTAAACACAAAATACTAAGAGTGCTTCTTCATACACTTAAATAATATTAACTACTATGCATATTGTCGTTATGGAATAACCATTTCACAGATGATATCGGACATTTTTCTTATGTCGTAACAACAATACCCTTCCCTTTTCACGAATGTGACCTACCGAATTAGACTATTTACAGGATTTGTAATAACATAAGCAACACGAAAGATGCCACATGTGGAGCAGGATCTGCTTAGCCTTCCGGGGCACCTGAGATCACCCCCAGTTTTTTGGTGGGGTTCGTGTTACTTAGTCTTTAGTTTTCTATGTTGTGTCATCTGTACTATTATTTGTCTATTTGTATTTTTATTTTTTGCCATGGCGTTGTCAGTTTGTTTTCGATCTATGAGTTTGACTGTCCCTCTGGTATCTTCCGTCCCTCTCTAATATCTTTGTGACAAAGGATATATTTCATTTACTAAATTTATTACTAAAATGTATGGTTTGAAAAACTGTTTCGTTTAAAATTCTTAAATTTATTGTATAAAAACTTACTAGGACTCATATTTGAACACATTTTCAAATGGATTCCCTTTTCTAATTTTGTGTATTAAATGATCAATGTTGATTTTGTTTAACCTTGAAAACTTTAAATTATTAAAAGTTATTATTCTTGTTTTACTTTCCTTTTCCAATTTTGATTGAAACATATCTTAATGTTTGGGTATTTTTCAGTGTGCTAGGCTTTGAATATTTGGTTTGGAAGCACAATTCTGTGTGAAAGAGCTGGTCATGCGAGTCCCTTTATCGTGAGCTTCATGTGACATTGACTTGTAATATCAGGAAAAATGTATAACTTTTGTGACGTTCTTTTTTAAAATATTTTCTTCACACTACTTGTATGTATGGTTTTGATATTTACATTATCTATATTACAGATAACTTCTCTCATATGTGTGCCACATCATTCTCTCAATTTTAGGCCTGTTTGTGTACTTAAATTTTAATAAGACGCACACCACCTATTCCTGGCTCCCATTCCTATCCACGTTTATTTGATCACTTCAACATTTTGTAAAATGATTGTTTAAAAATGTATTTTTTGTTTTTTCCTTTGTTATACCCACCATTGTTTTGTATTGTTTGTATATATGTAAATAGTGTATTCCTCTTGTTACACGTATGTATTGTGTCTGGGTGATCAAATAAAAGTTGTTCAAAGTTGTTCAACAGAGCTATAGGGCAGGATGGATATACTGTTATTCACACATCAGACGGAACTGGTTATCGGAACTTTGGATACACCAAAAAAGGTAATTCATATTTGAGAAACGGGTAATATATGCCCTCAAGTTTAAAATTCATCCAAACATGTTTGTATTCTTCAATATGTGTTCTACAAGGATTACCAGTCCTTCCCCTTTCATTTGATACCTTGATAACTAAAGAATATATAGTTTGATATTTACACCTATGCGTATGAACTGTTTTGTTGTAAATATGCACTACTTTCCGGTATGTTCTTTTTTTACCCGGCTCAATTTGGTGTCTAATTCAAAAGATAAAACCAATGGCTGGATATATGTTAAAGTTATATAAAAACGAAACACAAATAGTCCGGAAAGCAACTAACGAAAACTAATGAATTACAGTCTCCTATCTTGAGAAAAATAAAGATGTGGTGAACTTAAACATACTTAAACCCACCCCTATCCTTGGCCAGTTTAGTAACAACACAACAAGAAACACCAAGATTCCAACAAAAGTACTGATACAGGAGTGTTCAGCTTGCGTTAAGCCAAAAACAAACAAACAGAAAAATATTGCTGGAATTAAACCACTAATTCATAGCCCTATTGCTTTCTATGTTAAATTCTGCAATTTCAAGCATTAATGGCTACTTTGTTTTAAGTTCAAATAAAGAAGCAGTCATTTCATGTCAAAACTTTTCCTTATCCTGACTTGTGGTGAAAAATTTAACATACCTTTTTTAGTACAAAAACAGGCACTTCTGATCTGACCTATTACAATTTCATATAATTTGTTTTATTATTCAACAAGTGTTCTACAGTGATTCATAAAGAGTCGGCATACAGTCAACAAGACGACAGCAATACAATGGGAACAATAACCAAGATACATAAAGAGTCGGCACACAGTCGTCAAGATAACAGCAATTCAATGGTAACAATAACCAAAATACATAAAGAGTCGACATGCAGTCAAGACGACAGCAATTCAATGGGAACAATAACCAAAATACATAAAGGTTCATTATACAGTCGTCGAGACGACAGCAATTTAATGGCAACAGTACCCAAAACACACAAAAGGTCGGCATAGAGTCGTCAGGACGACAACAATTCAATGGTAACAATAACCAAAATACATAAAGAGTCGACATACAGTCGTCAAGACGACAGCAATTCAATGGTAACAATAACCAAAATACATAGAGTCGGCGTACAGTCGTCAAGACGAGCAATTTAATGGCAACAATAACCAAAATACATAAATAGTCGACGTACAGTCGTCAAGACGACATCAATTTAATGGCAACAATAACCAAAATACATAAAATTCGGCATACAGTCGTCAAGATTAGACAATCATCTTAACTGTGATTACAACTGAATTATCATTGAATTGGTAGTTTTAACCTTATAATAAAGACAAATGGTCGCATAAATAACAGCATCAGAGCACGTGCTAAAGTATAACTCATCAACTACTTTGAGCTCGGAAAGGGCAACAATGCAGGTTTTACCAATTGGACAGGAACTGCTTACAACATTGTGTTTGAGACGTAGCAGGGTTCGTGATGTCCATTCTTTAGTAACTTATGTAGTATTTTGAGATCTGTTATCTGTCTTTCAAAGTTTTCTCTGTCTACTAGGTATTGCCGCCATCTTGTTATCAATATTTTAATCATAAGCATAGCACATGATTCATGTTGATGTGAAATTCTAAACTTGATTATTATTGTTTTACCAAAGCAGATTTATTCATATTTATCAGTTCAAACATAAATGCATGATTAATGTAAACAAAAAACAGTATGATTGAAATAAGTTTTATATAATTTGAGCATGATAAATATTTTTGAATTAAAAGTGACTATTATACATAGCAGTCAGATTCATATATACAGGCCAAAATAATTCAATCTTAACGTAACATGATCAAGACATAGTACTAACATATCTGATACTTGAATACAACACCATTATTTCCAAAGGAGTAATTAAAAACGATAACTCTAGAGACGCGTTGCCATTTTTGAACATCTTCTAGTTCTTGCATCAGAGCTTCTAATCTGTCCTTGTATTCCATGACATATTCTAAGTATTCTTCTCTCATAACCAGTATCACATAGCCACCTTCAATATAAAGTTCAAGGCAACAGTACTTTACAGCTGTTCAAATCTCATAAATTAATTAAGATAAAAACCAAGGTAAAAATAACTTTAAGGAAAATACATGAACTCCAAAAGCAGCGGGACCGAGTGCTTCGACAGGGTAACCGTCTTCTGCCATACACGTCATCACTGATTAAAAACGTTAATCGGTAAATGTACAGATCAGACGACTATTATTGTATCAGGTTAGGAGATCTCAGACAGCGAAAACATGTCGCTGTAAGTTCAGACACATCGTATCGTTCAACTTATTTGTGGTGGTGAACGTATAAATTTTTTAGAGTCAATGTCAGTCAAATGTGTTTGTGTAAGGAGCAGACACCTGTTAATGAAGTCCGTATTATGTGAACATGCACGAAATAGGGGTATTTATTGAGTTAGGTACACGCCATTTGATAGGATATAGGTTATCTCAATGCCGAAGTTGAAATTTAAAAAGTTGAAATATATTTAAGTGTCAATGTCGAAGGAAAGATTAAGATATGAAGCAGACCTTCTATTTCATGTAGTTTCATAAATTTCAAATTCATTGGGATATATCAGATGCACGAACTCACTGAAATTGGGAGTATGGTGGTATATGGTCTATTTGACTTGCGTCTTGATGTATGCATGTTTTGCGTTTTCAATATGTAGGGTTATGTTTGCTATGTTTTTGTTTTGTTTTGTTTTACTTTAGTTTCATATTCAATTTCTTGTAGCTGTCTTTTTCATTTCTTCTTGTGTGTTTTTTTGTTTAACAAGTAATGTTACGTTGTATTGCAATTAGGCCAACTTTCACCTTAAATACTGGATAAAGGAGAATCGGTGTTTGCTGTTGCTTCTGTATTATATAGGCTCTCTGAGCAACTTCTTTTCCATCATTTAAGGAAATTCAAACAACGAAAACAAAACAACACAACACAAGAGAGAAACACAAATGTAACATAATACCTGGTTTGGTAATTCTTATCATCTCATCCAAAGCTTCACAAGAAATATGTCCTTCTCCCATTCCTCCGGCAATAGCTGTACAGTCAAACGTATCTGAAACACAACAACATGTTTTGAAAAGATAAAAAATAAATATTGTCAGTCGGCACTGTATGTTTTTTTTTTTCAGACATTCACTCAGACTGATTCTTTAATCACAAGTAGTACATATATTCCCTGAATCATAACCTTAAACAGTTTGATCTGACATTTTGCGTTTAGTGTAAAATGTTTGTGTTTATGTGATATATTCCCTGAATCATAATCTTAAACGGTTTGATCTGTGTTTAGTGTAAAATGTTTGTGTTTATGTGATAAAAATTAATGCTTCTGTGACAACTAAATTTCAAAACATTTCGTAGGGGACTCCAATGCCAACCCAAACAGGTTGAAAACTTTTGAATATAAATTTTGTTTCACTTGTCAGATGACACAAGGATTATCCACGACTCATACCAACTTCACCTGTTGTCATATTATTTTTGTACAAAACACTGTTTTTATGTGTTAATATGTTTTCAAATGTCATACAATAAAACAATGTTGGTTAGAATTGTGTTTTCCTTAAGCAATATCTTACTACTGTCCACTGGAAGTCTTTTTTCGCACATAAATTCACACAGTAGTCTACCATAAATGTTCTTTTTCTTTGCCATTGCAAGCATACCTGCGGCAGGATCCAGACCATCTATGTTTCTGAATCCACGCTTGTATAACTGTTAATTTAGGATGTATAACATTAGGAAATAGTCAATAAATTTTATTTTAAAACTGCACAAATAGAAGTATATTACTATTGCTTACACATTAATTTCTATACACTCCGGCCTTTATAAACACTATTCTTATCAGTTTTGATTAAACGCATTATACATATATGTAAAAACAATTCCTCATTTACACTTCAGTCATGTATGATGGAACACAAAATAACATGTCTGACTAATTTTGTAAAGACGTATGATTACAGTTTAAGAAAATATATGTTTTCCTCAGCTATGTTGTCTTTTGTCTAGCCTCAATTTTGTGTTTTTACCTCTGATCTGTGTTGTGTGACGTCATGAAATTCAAATATATGACCCTTTGTTTATTTAAATCCGAGCCTTTTTATGAAGTAGATTTTCAGTAATGAGGCGTGATTTTAGACAAGCACATATACATTGTAGTGAGGTTAAAGCGTCCAAATCTCTTCGATCCGTAACTTGAGTAATTTGAGTAACAGTATCAACGCAACAAAAAACCAAACTTGAAAAGAATCAGTTGGAAAGGGCTTGACTTATAAAACCGGTCTGCCTACCCTTCCAGAACACCTGACACCACCCCAGTTTTTGGTTAGGTTCTTTTTTCTCTGTCTTTTCAATGTAGTTTTTTTATGAATACATTTGCATAAGCCGCTATAAATAGGAAATACATACAAATCTAGGTAAGCATTGATGATTCCGTACCCTAGCACTTTAAAGTTATGAGAGCTGCACAACAAATATTTCTTTGTCTTTTAAAAAATACATCAGTTTTTTTCTACACTTCTTAGTCTACTTGCAAAAAAATCTGTTTTCCCATTCAATCTCTCTTCACATTGAATATATCTCAGATATGAAGATAACAGATAATGTGGAAGACATAATCGTCAGACAATTCGTATATGTAAAATGTTAAATCTGTTGTACATGTATAATACATGAATGTCGTTTTACATGTTTTATGGTATAAAGGTAAAACATCTATTACAACATTGTATCTATTTATATAGTTTAACTTGCCTCTTCCCCTAAAAATCCTGAGCCTGCTGGACCCTCTATATCTTTCGGCGCAGATATCCTTTGAAACAGAATAATAAAAAGCCAAAATCAAAAATGAGTTCATTTCTTTATAGAAATCATATAGGATATAGGTAACTTCGTAATTACCAGATCATCGTTTAAGCACTATTGGAAAATATCCATTTTCGCTCTTAACAGACGACGTTGCATATCAAATTCTGAGGATACTTTCATTTTACACTTTATAGTTTCTGAACAACAGCAAAATAATGGTTACTTTCTCTAAACATTGCTTCAAATTGTCGCGCACGCTTAATGTAGCAAACAACAAAGGTAATTTTGTAACACATCCCTTATACACTAATGTCATAAGGAGGACCGTTAGTTTATAATGGCATCATTATTAAACCTTAACTTGTGGTATATCAAATAATTTTATTCTGTTTGAGGATCAGCTTAAACGGACACTACGTAAAATAGAAATATCAATTTTGGTATACAGTCATGAATTTCATATGTCTTCAGTCGCTATCTGGAAGTACTCAATTCATTTAATAAATATGATACATATATATCAAATAAAAAGAACGAAAATGCCTATATATCGATATTTTAAACATCGTTTAAAGTATTCCCAAAACTATAAAAGATCTGTCCGTAATGTCACCTGTTCGTAGTTTCCACTAACTCCCCATTTGGAATAATATTTTGCAACGTCAGTTTTCGAAATTCCCTCTTTGTGGGCTTCATAATTAGCATCATAGGCACCTGCTTCTTCTTGTGGATTAGATTGCATAAAATGTACGGCTTTCTGATCTGCCATGCTGATTCTGTTTAAGACTGCATGAACATAAAATATGTATGACAATGTTATCAAGAAAACCAAATTTTACGTTAAAAAAGAAATTAATTTCAAAAACACGAAACCTCTTTGACTCATTCCTTCACTTAAGCTGTTAAAAAACGTAGAAATTCCCCTTTGAGAACGAATAATCTTGTAAATCTTAAATAATGAAATAACATACCGCAAATTTCAGTTTTATTGATTTGGCAATTTTATACTGATAATTATAGTATGTTCAAAGCAAAACAACCGACTATTTAATTTGAAATAATTAAAATGATAAAACAATGACTTTATATATATATGTATATATTTGCCCAGATGTTGCAATACTTGTTTTCCTTTATCAACTGACATGTATAGTTTATAAGACTGATTATTGAATTAGCGTTAGCATATTTTTGACGTATTGTATATAAAATAGATGATTAATTTGTTGAAAAAAAAAACATCATTCCTTACATAAAAGTTAATATAATCTTATTTCAATTTGTATTTATTGTCGACATTAATGAACATTAATGAACCATTCAAAATAAAGCGTAACAGTTTCAAGGGGAGTTCAAACAGAGTCAATTTGAAAAGCAGATGCCCTTACTGTTTAGTGGGACAAGTGAATGTCATTCTGGGGCAAGTACCAAAATAAGGTTAACTTGAAAAGCAGACTTGGTCCTAGGACTTTTTTATGACTGCAGAAAAACGTTAATTTTAGACAGGTCCGCTACTGAAGTTAACTTCGAAACCAGTCCTAAAATAAGTTAACTTCGATTTTGACAACTCCAATTGAACAAAATTTACATGATACAAATATCTCCCTGGTCTGATTTTTGACAAATCGAAAACGATATTGGTAACACCGCAAAGTGTAACGTACATTTTATATATTGCAATAAACACAAGTTCGACAAGCCGCTTATACTGTTTAAGTTCTGATCTGTTGTAAAATGTTACAGTCCATGTAGGTTTGTAAGCTTAAAAACTTGATTATCAGATAGCATTGATTAACAATGGCAATAACGCAGAGTGCATAGATTGTATGAAATAATCGTGATAAATAAAACCAACATTGGTGTACAGTTACTAACATCATGCTCGGCTTTCATTCAGAGTGCCAACATTTCTACTGTTTCTTTTTCAGCATCACTTTAGGGTATCAGAATGCCCTCTTTCAATCCAATAATTGAATAGTCACCAAAAATTAGTTGTTTTCATGTCTCAGGCTGGTTTGAAAAACAAAAACATTTGACAACATCAACCAAAACTGGCCATATTTGCACTTTATTATGAAAAATAACATATGCACGTGTCATAAGTCAGTACATATATTTGTTAACTCATGATAGATTGTATAAAACAAATGACAGCAATATTGGAACACAATGACTCCAAAACTTTGTCCGTATCAAAATGAGTGCCAGTATGTTTTTTTTTTATTCAAAATATTGAACCGTCACAAAAAAAATCGGTAGTTTTCATATCTAAGGCTGGATCGTATAACAAAAATATTTAACCAAGTCAACTGAAATTGACCATGTTTGCACTTTATTATGAAAATTTAAATTATATAGCCATATGATAAATCAGTATATTTGTTAACTCAGGATTGTTGTGTTTTATAAATGACAGCAATATTGGAACACAATTGCTAAAAAATGATATTCCCATCAATTTAAAGTGTCAGCATGTCCTCTTTTCATTCTAAATATTGAATGTATAACAAAAATTGTTTGACTGCATCAACCACAACTTACCATATTTGCACTTTATCATGAAAGTTATATACGCATATCATTAATTATTATATTTTAATAACTCAGGATGAATTGTATATTACAACTGACAGCAATATTGGAACATAATGGCTACAAAATGTTGTCAACATCAATTTAAAATGCCCGCAGCTTGTCCTCTTTTTATTTAAATAGTCAACAAAAATTCTGTAGTTTTGATATCTCAGGCTAGTTTGTATAACAAAAATATTACAAATGACAGCAATATTGTAACACAATGACTACAAAATGTTGTCCACATAAATTTTAAGTGCCAGTATGTCCTCTTTTTATTAAAAATATTGAATTGTCACCACAACATCAGTAGTTTTAATATCTCAGGCTCGTTTGTATAACAAAAATATATAGCTTGTGATATGAATTATACTGCATTTTGATGCAATTCAATATTTAGACTAAAAAGTGGACTAAATGGCATTTCAAACGGATGGAAAAAACATTTTTAGCCGTTGTTTCAATATTGATGTCAATTATATTTTACAGTCATATCATAAAACAGGATGGATTATATTAATACTAATCACAACAATATTGGAACTAATTGACTAAAATAATTTACCCATCAGCTTAAAGTGCCAGCATGTCCTTTTTTATTCCAAATATTGAATCGTCACCAAAATCAGTTGTTTTCATATCTCAGGCTGGTTTGTATAAAATAAAATATTTGAACGCGTCAACTAAAACTGACCATACATGTATTTGTACTCTTTAATGCAAATTCATAAAGCCGCAGACTAAACCAGTAAGTTTGTTAACTCAGGATGGATTGTATGATGCAAATGACAGCAATATTGGAACTCAATGACTACAAAATTTTGTCCGCATCAATTAAGAGTGCCAGCATGTCCTCTTTTTATTGAAAATATTTAATCATAACAAACAATCAGAAGTTTTTATATCTCGGGGTAGTTTGTATAACAAAAATATTTGTCCGCATGAACCAAAACTGATCACAATTGCATTTTATAATGAACATTATATAGCTGCATTATCAATCAGTAAAGGAGTAACTCAGGATGGATTGTATGAAACTAATGACAGGAATATTGGTACACAATGACTACAAAATATTGCCCGTATCAATTAAAAGTGCCAGTATTTCCTCTTAGTATTCAGAATATTGAACCGTCACTAAAGTCAGTGGTTATCATATTTCAGGATAGTTTGTATAACAAAACTAATTGACTGCATTATATAACACTAATCATATGTGTACATTATAATGAACAGAATGAGGCGGTTTTATCTAGGGATTGTACACTGACTGTCAGTATTTTATGTCGGTTGATTGATTGATTGTTGGTTGGTGATCGTCAAAGGGCAAATATTTTATTCATATTCAAACAACTTTTTCTTTTATAATGTATATATGTCGTTCAACATGTGCGAAACTGTATTATTTATGTAAACAAAGATATGAAATTAAAAAAAAAGAATAATGTGTATATACAAATAAAGAGTCACTAACGAGTATAGTAATTTGTCAATATAATGAAATTTGATGCGACTGTCATACAAGTGAGAGGTTTAGCGCTATAAAACCAGGTTAAATCCACCATTTTCTACATAAGAAAATGCCTGTACTAAGTCAGGAATATGACAGTTGTTGTGCATTCGTTTGATGTGTTTGTGCTTTTGATTTTGCCATTTGATTAGGGACTCTCTGTTTTGAATTTTCCTCGGAGTTCAGTATTTTTTGTGATTTAACTTTTTGCTATACTGGGAAAAAGAACAGTGCAATTTTTGTTTACATAATAGTAGCTAAAGTCTGATATGAAAATCTTGTTTGGAGCAGAGTTGATCTGATTTTGGACAGACTTGTCAATAGGTCAGTAGATGTGCCAATAAAGCAGACCTAGGTCTGATCTTCCACCGACGAAGTTGACTTGCTTTTCTTGTTAATATTTCTTAAGTTATCTTGGAAAGCAGTCAACAAGTCGGCTCCAAGTTAACTTTTGTACAGGTTACGACTGCACCCATCTGTAAGATAGAACAATTACAACTTGCCATGCATGTGAACTGTAATCAAATTTGCTTTGATCTGTTTATGAATGGCATTTGTATGTCTAAAATACGACAATAAAACAACACATGAATGGAAACAAACTAGCGTTTACATCTACAGTACCAAATTTGTCGGCAACTTATCCGCATTTCGACAAATAATGTCTCTTCAACGATGCTCGTTGTTGAATTTTTTAAAAATCCAAAACCTGAAACACACGTGAAGTACAAAAGTATAGGCAGACCATGAAAAGAAATCTGAGCTTTTGCATGAAGGAGATAAATTCATGAATCTAAAATAATTTCTTAGATTTAAAGACAGCAAATTTCAATTAAACAATATTCGTATTTTTGTGCCAGTACTTTGTTGTTGATACTTCCCGGGAATTACAGTCCACCAGTAGATGTATGGATCCAGTGGTTTAACTTCTAAAATAGTAAAGGTCTGCTGATTTTTTCAAAGTTTACCCCCAAAATAGTGACTCTTTATATACTACGTTAATTGCATCATACACTCTAATCGAATTTATCCACTACACATACTCATATGGTTTATCTGTCATTTATACTTACTGGCTAGACAAAAGCAACAATGCAAAAACAATTATTCGTGTTCAATTCTGTTGTTGAAGCAGATGCATTTAACAAATAAAATTGTAACTTGCTTGATTCAATTTATAAACTTATCTTTTATGGTAGTATCTACAAACTTGGATTTGTAGGCATAAGGCAACAAATAAGTAAAGTTCTAGTTATATTGTATGTATAAAAAATTATTTCTATGAAATGAACGTAGGAAGAACAAAGTGATTTAAAATTAATTGATTCATATGTAAACAAAATACCCCATATACTTTGTTTTTCTATCAAAATATGTTATATAATAAATAAAAGGAGCACCTGAGATCACCCCCAGTTTTTGGTGGGGTTCGTGTTGGCCTTACTTTCTTATCGATCGCAACATAGATTTTACCTATTAAAATATTGAAATATTGGTGACATATGACAAATTGTTTACACTGATTCCAAAAATGTATAGTAGTGTTGTGTGGAACTGTTGAATTAAATAATTGATATACGAAGCAATAACCGTTCGACCCATAATCGTTTCCAGTGTCGAAATGTTTTTATCTATATATCTTAAAATAGGGTTGAAATATACGTTATAATCTGATATAAAATGGAGTTTATTGCGCTGTCAGTTTTATGATAGCTTTTTGAACAATTGTTTCAAAAGAATATATAGTGTCAATGTTACTTTTCCTGAAATCAAGGAGATGATTATCTACTTGCAATTTACACCTGTTAATTTCGTTGTCAAATTTAATGTGTGTGGATTATTAAAACAAAATCATATGGTATTTAGGTATTTTCGCTTGAAATGAATACAAAAGTGCCTACTTTCGAAACACATAATGTCATTCTTGTTTACTCTGTTCAGGGTTATCATGGTTATATCTCACGCAACTCCTTTTAAACGACTTTGTGGCTTTATGGCTTTGTCATTAATCAATTTGAATTAATAATCTACACATTTTAACATTTCATAAACAATACTTCTAATAGATGTTTGTGGATTGATTCGGATTTTGTGAAGTTTTTGACATCTATCTTTTACATGTTTTAGACTAGATGCACTCAGACGCATTCACATTCAGACATTGATGAATGACCTTGAATCTAATTTTCAAGTTATGACCAAAAGAGCTCATATCAAAACACACTTGACCTTTAAGGCATACGGTTTTTGGGTAATAAATATATAATACAATGTTTATTCTTATAACCTCTTAAATTTGGCATCCACTATTACTGTATATGGATACACAC